CATTGATGATGCCTCGGTAGATCCACTTCTCCAGGATTTCGAAGTAGGGGACACTGGCAGCCTTGGTCAAGTAGAGGCAGAGCTCCTGGGCTTGGCTGTCTCCCGTGTAGTTGAACGTCTTATCGTGCAGCAGGCTGAGTGTTGACCCTCCAACACACTCCCCTTTGTCCACAGAAGTGGCTGCAACAAGAAGCAAAGGCCAAGAAGAGTCACGTCCCGCTGAAGCCAGGGTTGGTCAGGGCACAGATGCCCATCCCTGGCAGACACACCTGGATGTTGCAGGAGCTCCCCCCATCTGAAAAGGGGTCAGCAGGAGATGGCTGCTCTGGACCATGGCCTGGGACACCGGCTTACGAGGTGAGTGCCCAGAGTGGAGGCAGGGTTTCCGCAAGGCTCAATAGGCCCTCGGGGTTGATGAAGTGAAACCTGCCTCTCAGGGGTCACTTGTGGCCCCCAAAGGTGCCCAAGAACCTCTGAAAAGAGGCTACTGGCAACCAATTCAGGAACAGAACCTCTGCCAGTCCCTGGTTGTCCTCAAGTGCACTTATCGCGATTGAGGTGCTCCAGCCAATCCGCTGTGCTGAATCTGAATCATGTAGAACTGTTTATTCAAAGAATGTCCCCCCACCCCACCCTTTTCAGCTGAAAGAAGCTTCTGCAAAATCAACAAATAGTGTACAGCTCACAGACTGCAGACACACAGAAACAGAGAGCGAGCACGCCAGCATTATTCCTGCAGTCAGCAGGAGGGGCCAGGGGATTGGTTTTAATAATTGTATTATAAGTTGGTATTGTTATAATGAGGCTATTATTGGATTGTAATTGCAAACTTTTTCTTTTTCTTCTTCTTCTTCTTAATTAAAACTATACCACCCTATACCCGGAGGTCTCAGGGCGGTTCACAGAAGAGATCAACCTTAAAAACTGTAATATATATACAGTAATCAAAATGAAGACATCCCGACATCCCTCTGTGGCAACTTTATAAAAATTATTACCAAAATAAGGAGGGGCCAGAGGATGCCCCCTTCTGCTCTGGGGCACCAGGGTAGGGGGGACTTGGAGGCTTCCACAGCATTTGGGGGGGGGGAATTGTGTACAAAGGAAGCTCCCCTGCAGCTCCTCTTTCTAGGGCTGAGGGATGGGGCTCCTTGTGGGAAGCAGGAGGAGTGGCATTTCCAGGGGGTCCTGGTCGTCCCTCCAGGGGGTGGGTAGGCCCAGAGGGAGCCCCTTTGACTTTGCTGCCCCCAGGAAAAGAAATGACACAATCACTGGCCTCACCTGAGACTGACTGTGGCACAAGGGAACCCCTTTCAGCACTGGGCTGCTGGCCTCCCTTGGAAGGACCCTCCCTGCAGCAACATCCCAGCAGTGGGCAGAGCCAGAGGCCCACCTGGACACACGGACCCAGCTCCTTCCACCGCCCCCCTTGATGAAGGAGAGCCAGCTCGGCCTCTCCTGGCACTGGGGCTCCAAGGTCCAAGCCTCCCTCCGAGAGCCAGTGTGGGGTAGTGGTCAAGAGCAGTGGACTCGTAATCTGGGGAACCGGGTTCGCGTCTCTGCTCCTCCACATGCAGCTGCTGGGTGACCTTGGGCCAGTCACACTTCTCTAAAGTCTCTCAGCCCCACTCACCTCACAGAGTGTTTGTTGTGGGGGAGGAAGAGAAAGGAGAATGTTAGCCGCTTTGAGACTCCTTAAAGGGAGTGAAAGGCGGGATATCAAATCCAAACTCTTCTTCTTCTTCTCCCTCCCTTGCCCCCTCCAGGGGAGCAGGAGGCAAGCAGACAGAGAAGGCGGCTGCCCAGAAAGACACCCTGCTCACTGCCCCCCCCCCCCGAGAGACCTTGCCCCGCACTCACCCAGGGAAGCCAGGATCTCCATGGTCCTCATGGTGGGCTGGATGTAGAACCAGAGCTTCTGCAGGGAGAGCAGGCCTTGGCGCTGCAAGTGCTCCAGCTGCGTCACCAGGGTCATGTATTCCTTGACCAGGGCCCTCATGGCGGCCGCCAGCGCGTGGTTCACCTGCCCGTACTCAAAGGAAGACTTCTCTTCCACGAACCTGTCAGGGCGCAGGACGGAGAGCTGCTACTGGAAGCCAGCCCCAGCACCTCTGGGCCCCACCAGAAACGTGGCCCACCAATGCCACCCCCCCGCCCCCCCTGCCCAAGATGCAAGGAAGCCTTGTTCTTGTGCAGCTCAGCAATGAGAGGAAGCAGGAAGCTCCCTAGGTTCCAGGGGCCTTTGGGGCTCTGAGCTGCTGCAGCCCCCAGGTGGGAGGAACCCCAGAGGCCCCCCCCACCCAGCCCTCAGCCAGAGGGATGGGACACAGGCTGTCGCTGCGTCTTCTTCGCCTCCCCCAGCTCCGTCCCTGATGAGGAACCCCAGGCTGCTACCTGGTGACGATGGAGTAGCTCGCTGCCACGGGGAGGATCCTGGTGACCAGCTCCTTGACTGACATATCCAGGTTGGGATCCACCAAGAAAGTGCGGCTCTCTCTGCCCACCAGTGGCTGCGCAGTGATGTACCGGCCATCCACCCCAATCAGGACGTAGAGCAAGTCCTCCACCACAGCAGATTCCTGGGCTGCCAGGGGCAAAGTCCCTGGCAGAGGAAAGCGGCACGTCATGCACCGGCGCCACTCGAACAAATGCATCTGGGGAACCCGCCTGAGGGCCAAAAGGGCAGCTGGCCATTCTTAAAAAGAGCAGGGTCTCCCACCACCGGGAGAGGAGAGGGCATTTGACAGGTGGCTGCCTTGAAATGCTCTTTGACTTTATCCCTATTGATAATTTGTGTACCTGGACACGGTTTTGTGTGCTTATTTTTTTACGTCAAGCTGTTTGACACTTTTTATTGTGCCTGCTGGGCTCACAAATAAAACTCTACTCGTATTCATGTGTTTTTAATCTATGATAAGCTGGCAGTTGTTGGCGGCTATGGGAAAGGAGAGGGCTCTTGGGCTTGGATCCTGCCAATGGATTTCCCACTGGGGGCATCTGGTGGGCCCCTGTGAGGACAGGATGCTGGAATGGATAGGCCCCTTTGGCCTGATCCAGCCGCCCCACTCTTCTTGTGTTCTGGACCTTCCGCGCTGCACTAGCCAGACCCACGTTGGCAGAGCATCACCAGCTGCCCATTAAGAGAAACATCCAGCAGGCAGGGGAGGCAGAAACAGCCCCAAGCTGTGAGACCCTCCGCTCCTCTCGTGCAAGACTCACCTATAGGCACTGTGGTGTCCAGGCTCAGGCTGGAGCTCGTGAGGAAGTCCCCGATGAGGGCCGGCCTCTCATACACCCAGGCGGGAAAGGACGGGATGGGCTGCCCAGAGTTCTTCCTGTTCTGCTTGTCCCTGAGCGACTTCCGCACCAGCTCAAGAGACTGCCAAGGAAGAGAGCGAGTGACAGGCCAGCCCAGACACTGAACTATCAAGCAGCCATGGCAGCAGGGTGTGTGGCAGCTGGGCTCCCACTCGCTGCCAGTTCCTGCCCCCTTTGCTCAAGGGGCAAAAGAGGCTGGCACAGTATTTGCACCCAGGGAGGCCTCTCAGGACCCACCCCAGTCCCCTTGGCAAACCGAAGAGCAGCCCACCCGCCCGGAGCGTTGGACAAGGCAGAACTTCCTCTGAAGTAGGCACCACAGGGAGCCCAGCTAAGGGCATCCTGCAGCTGCCCACTGAGGTCACTGGCTTCCCATCCCAGGCTTGCCGTGTGAGAGAGAGAGAGATCCCCAAGTTTTTTGCTGCAGCAGAACCCTCCCTTCCCAAATAACAAATCAGGGGACCCGAGAGAAGAGAGGGACCTGTGGGGCGCTGGAGCTGGTTGTGACGGTGCCCAGCTGCTTCCGTAGCTCCTCCAGCTCCTGGACGGTCATTTTGGCTGTTGTTGAGGGGATGGAGAAAGTGACGCTGCTGCTGGCTCCGCCACTGTTGGCCGCTGCATTGGCTGCTAGCTCTGCCCTTTCCTTGGCATTTTGCTGCAAGTACTGGAGGGTCTGCAAAAGCCCCACAAAAAGCAGAACTCAGGAACGGCACCAAAGAGCCTCAGCCCACAAGGAGAGTGGATCTCCCAGCCGCCTCCCCAGTCTTGATATATGACCGCCGAGGTGGGCAACCTGCAGCCCTCAGGGGGCCGAGTTCAAATTCAGGCCTCGGGCCAGAGCAACCTGTCTCTCTCTTGTCAGTCTGCCGGGTGGGAAGGGAGAGAGGGGAGCGGGGGGGGGGGGTCTGGACCCTCCAACCCTGGGCTGCAGGTCCCACCCTCTGCTTCTTCTCTTGATGGGGAACCGGTGAGCCAGCGCTGGGCCGGGCTGAGGCATGGCTGGCTGGGGCTGCTTCTGGGGGGGGGGGACCCCGCCGAGGTCTGCCCCGCCTCTCTGCCCCCCCCCCGCCTCTCCGCACCTCCTTGTCCTCGGTCAGCTTGGAGAGCAGCTGCACCAGCGAGTCCAGGTGCCGCGTGTTCTTCGACTTCAGCTCGTCGTACTTGGTCAGAAAGTCTTCCGGCGTCCGAGAAAACTCCGCGATCTTCACCTGCGGGGAGACGGGGGGGGGGGGGTCAGCGCCCGGCGGGGGGAGTCCCGGGGGGCCTCGCTCAGGGAGGGAGGGGGCCGTGGGGGGGTCCTTCCCTCTCTCCCTCCCCCTCCCTCCCTCCCTCCCCCCCCCGGGGCCTCGCTCAGGGAGGGAGGGGGCCGTGGGGGGGTCCTTCCCTCCCTCCCTCCCCCCCCCGGGGCCTCGCTCGCTCGCTCGCCTTGGCTCCGAGGGCGGCGGCGGAGGTGGCGAGGAAGGGCCCGCTCTGGCTCCTCTGCAGCAGCTCCACGTAGCCCTCGGCGCCGCCTTCCCCGCAGGAGCCCCTCGCGCGGAGGAGCCGGAGGAGCTCGTTCACGTCGTGGTGGAGCCGGAACTCGCTCATGGCCGCCATGGACCGGGAGGCGTCTCCCCGGCAACGGGGCCCCGGAAGCGCCGCGGCGGGAGAGGAAGCGGAAGCGGGAGAGAGAGACCCGCCTCTTCCGGCAGCGGGCGAGGAAAGCGGGAGGATGCGGGACGAGGAAGGCGAGCGAGACGGCGGAGGCCCCTTCCGCTTCCGCCCGGCCAGGCTCCGCTTCCCCGCGCAGCACCCCTTCTTCGAGGCAGGCGGGCGGGCGGGCCTGGGGGGGGGAGAGGGGAGCCCGGGGGGGAGAGAGGGGATCCCGGGGGGGGGAGAGAGGGGAGCCCGGGGGGGGGGAGAGGGGAGCCCGGGGGGGGAGAGAGGGGAGCCCGGGGGGGAGGGGAGCCCGGGGGGGGAGGGGAGCCTGGGGGGGGGCCCTCCCGGAAGGGGCGTCATCCGGGTCTTTCTTCCTTCCTCTTAGGACGGCGACGTCCAGCGGCATCTCCGCCTCCAGGATGCGCAGCCCAGCGCCCTCCCCGGAGGGGCCTCCCGGTGAGCGTCGCCCTCGGGGGAACCCCGGCGCCCCTTCTCCCCTCCCTGCGGGGCGGGTCTGGGTGGCCTTTCGGTGCCCCTTCCGACCCCCCCCTTCCCCGCTGTGTCTCCCGCAGGCCCCCCGCCGCCGCCGCCTTCTCGTGCCCGGCCGTGGGCTGCGCGCAGGTCTTCGACTCCCTGGCCAGCTGCGAGCACCACTACGGCCTCCTGCACCGCAGCGCCTGCTCGGCCTGCCAGCGCGCCTTCCCCTCGGCGCACCTGCTGCACCTGCACCTGCTGGAGTGGCACGACGCCCTCTTCGGGGTCATGGCGGAGAAGCGCAGCCTGGTGAGAGCCGGAGGCCCCTGGAAGCCAAGGCAGCCCCGGCGGCCCACATCCTCCCGCCTGCTCCATGAAGACCATTGGACCACTAGCCAGCTGCTTCTTCATGATAATAATTTTATTACAGTGGTGCCCCGCAAGACGGAAAACCCGCTAGACGAAAGGGTTTTCTGTTTTGGAGGCGCTTCGCAAAACGAATTTCCTTATGGGCTTGCTTCGCAAGACGAAAATGTCTTGCGAGTCTTGCCATTCCCCCCCCCCGCTTCCCCCCTTTTTCTAAGCCGCTAATAGCCTTTTAGCAGCTCAGCCGCTAAGCCTTTAATAGCCGCTAAACCGCTAATAGCGCTAATCCGCTAAGCCGCTAGTGGGGTTGCTTCGCAAGACGAAAAAACCGCTAGACGAAGAGACTCGCAGAACGGATGAATTTCGTCTTGCAAGGCACCACTGTATTTGTATCTTGTCTGCCTGACTGTATTGCCCCAGCCACTCTGGGCAGCTTCCAACAAAATATAAAAACGCAATAAGACATCAGAGATTTTTTTTTTAAAAACCCACCTCCGCTTGAGTGGTTGGGACCCCAAATTCTGACCAGCCCCCTCTTGCCCCCTTTTCTAGTACCAATGCCTGGTTGAGAGCTGTCCGGAGAAGTTCAAGAACAGCAAAGAGCGCAAGGAGCACTTGGTCCGAGTTCACTGCTACCCGTCGGACTACCGCTTTGATAAACCCGTGAAGGCAAAGAGGTAAGTACTTAGGTGTGGGTAACGGGGGGGGGGGGAGGCAGACATGCTCACTGTTCAGCAGACTGGCTTGGGACATGGAGCAGGGGGGGGGGGGAGCAGACAAATCTTCTAGACAAATCTAGTACTGTTTGGCTTTCTTTGGAATCCTGCCCTTTTCGCCCAGGAGCCAAGGTAGGTGAGGCTGAGAGGCAGTGCCTGACCCCAAGGCCACTTGGTGAGCCTCATGGGTGGGGAGGGATTTAGATCCTCTTCTAAAAAGTCTTTGCCTGCCACTGTGACTGCTGCACCACCCAGGCTCCTGCCTGCATGTTGCAGGAAGAAAAGCAAGGCTGGGGGGAGAAGAAGCTGACAAGGGAGAAGGGCCAGGACTCACAGACAGCCTCCATGTGGTGAGAGAAACTGGGGTGGTGGCAGCAGCAAGGTCCTCATGCCTTTTCATAAAAAGTTTGCAAGGGTTTTGCTCTGGGCTGTGTTTTTGCACCAGCACAAAGGCAGCGAGATCTCCCTCCAGAGAGAGCGCCTTCCTGATGGATGTGTGGGAGGGAGAAGACTGCAGGGAGCCGGCAGCGGACGATGCCATGGAAGTCGGCCCCAGCAAGAGCACAGAGGAGAAGCCGCCCCAGCCTGGGGCAGAGGACACGCCAGCCTTTCCGCCACCTGAGAGGCGGCTCTACAGCTCCAGGTAGGAGCCTCTCCTGGAGTGACTGTCCTCGTCTTAGCATCCGCTTGTTCTTTGTGTGTGGAGAACCATGGCAACGCTTGCTTCTTCTGTCAGCCACAAACTAAAAAGGGTCACAAAACCTCCAAGAGAAAATAGGTATCTCATCTTAAAATCCTGCCCCAAATCTTTTAGAATGGCTGGAAGCTGCATGAATGGCATTGTGTGAGTGAAACTCGGGGCAATTTGGCACTACTAACTAATATTGTTGTTTATATTAAAATTATATCCCCTTTCCTCCTGAAGAAGCACAGGGTAGTAACGTCTTGAAATGTGTAAGTCTGGCCTCTGGAATAAGTCAGGAGGAGCTGTTCTGCTTTTGGAATATTGTTTGCATGTATATATGTTTTCATAGCTTAGTTACTGAACTGGTGACTGAGTAATTTTTTTACTAATCAAATGACAACGCTGCATGCACTTCTGGTAACATGAGCTCAATCTGGAGGTACCAGAAATGAGTTAAAATAAGGAACTACACCCGTTGTTGAGCCTGAGTGGCTGAGCAACAGGAAAGCGTAACAAATTTCAATAGATTTCTGGGCCTTCTGTAGTCACACAAGTTATCTTAAATGGCCACGCTTGCATCTGGCATTTGGAGACCTGAGAAGCCTCAGCGAAGCCTCTGATCCACCCAGAGCCCTTTTTACTGCTGGCCATGAGGACACTGAAAGCTCTCTTGCTGTTCCTTCTCTTCCAGTGTCCCACACACTGTTTGCTTTGGACAAGGGGCAAAGCGCAGCTTCCAAGGCAGAAAAAAGAAGGCCTGAGGGACCAAAGAGGAACTTCAGGAAGTGGCAGAGTGAAGAAAGACTTTTGCAAAGCCCAGGCGGCCTTTCCTCGGGCGGAGGAGCTGGTTTTGACCCTTCAGCAGAGGCAAAGTGGGCTCTGGTGCAGGGAGGTGTGCCTGCCCTACCTGGCAGAGACAGTGAACTGGGTCCTTCTCCAACTGGGAGCTGCTCCTGCAGGCCAGGAGTCCCCAGGACCAGAGTTGCGTGTGGAGGGTGAAAATCGTTTCTGTATTTTTGAAAATAAAATGCTTGGTGTTTACAGAATCCTGGATGTTGAAAAGAGCAGCTGGTTGATTAAGCCACAAGAGGCAAATGGAGGGTCATCTCTCTCTGAACAAAATGCACGAAATACACAATCTGCATCTAAAAATAATCTGTTCCTATGTTGCAAGAAATGTCCTATCGTCTCTCCATTAATCAAAAGGGGCCAAAGTATTATCTTTCCAGTCAATATCAGTCTTTTGGCAAAAGTAAGGGCACAAAGAGTCCATCTAGATCGACCAGCTGCCAAGCCTCATATAATTGACATGACATTTAGGATAATGTCATCATCTGACAATTTTATTTCCCCCCAAATATAGTATTTATACATCCTAAGACTTTAATCCAAAAATTCATAAACGTCAGACATTGGTTAAACTTATGTTTCAAAGAAGCATTTTCCTAATTACATTTTCTGCAACATGTTGTGGATAGTCCCTTTCTGTACAAAAGTACCAGTCCAATTCTAAATATTATCTTTTGTTGCCCAAGACGTAGTTTATAATCTAAAAAACATTTGCTATGGAAGCTAAGACATTATTATGTTTCTTAGTGGCTTTATACAAAGAAAATCTCAAAGCAACTTAACAATACACTATAAAATAGAACTGGATAAAACCAGTTAAAAATCCGGGTGGAGGGAGACCCCTAACATATCTATGAAACATTTCAATCATCAGTATGTGCTGGTGGTTCTATACAAAAATGTATTGTGGTAGCCTGTCTTAAAAAGACTGTTTCCAAGAGACACCTAAAAAGCTGCAGGGAGTTCCACCGGCATCCTCCTCCTTCCTGTGGGGCCAACAGCACCTTGTTGAGTTTCTCAACCAGGGAAGCGCCCCCCCCCCCAGCGCAGCCAAGTGCAGTCGCAGGGAGACCCCCTCGTGGGGGGGGGGCTTATCTCGCCCCCGCTGGAGGCGGCGCTTCTTTCCTTGGGGCTCAGGGCAGCGCCCCCCACCCGCCCCGGCCACCCAGCCTGCGCCCCTGCACCTGCTCAGCCTGGCCGGGCAGGGAGGGGTCCCTTGGCTGCAGCCCCTCTTCCTCCTTCGCCCCGCAGCTCCCCCCGTTTCCATGGCGACGGGGTGGGGGTGGGGAGGAGGAGGCGGACGCCGCGCAGCAGCAGCAGCAGCGACTGGGACGGAGGCGCCGCCAGGTGAGGGGGGGAGAGGGGCGCCTCCCTGGAGCGCCAAGGGCCCCGCATCCCCCAGAGAAGACCCGGCTGCTCGCCCCGGTCTGGGCGGGGGGGGGGAGTGGGATGGGCAACCTCGCCCTCCCCCGGGGGCGACCCAGAGTTCTCCCCCCCCCCGCCGGGATGGGCTTCCGTCTGCCCCCACAGGACCCCCCTCGCGGCCCTTCTTTATCCCTCCGCCCCCCTCTCGAGACGCAGGCTTCTGCAAGGAGGCGCCCTCGCAGAAGGAGCAGGGGGCTCTTCCAAGGCTGCCCCCCCGGCTTGCCCCTCTTTGGAAGCAAGGGGGACTGCACTACGGGGGGGGGTGGACTAGATGCCCCGGGACCCCCTCCAGACCCGGCCAGTCTTGGGTCCTGGAGGCATCGCAGGAAGCCGGGGGCTCCGCCCGGTCCCCCCCCCCCCGCGGGGCTGCTCTGCCTTCGTCCTTCTCTGGCTTCCTGCCTGGGCGAGAACAGGAAAGGTGAGTCATCTTAGCTGCAGGTGGCTCCGTCCAGTCCCCTGTCCCCCCCCCCGCCCTCCTCCGAGGAATCGGAGCATCCCGCCCGCCCCCGGCAAGAGGGTCCCCCGGCCGAGAGCAGGAGGCGGCGGGGGGCGCGCAGGTGAGGGCCCCCAGTCCGGAGCAGCAGCGCCTCCCCGCCGCTCTGGGCGCGCCAGGGGCGGAGGTGGATGCTGGGCGGGAGGGAGGTCCAGGCTCTGCCCGGAGGAGGCGGAGGAGGAGGAGGAAACGGGAGCCTGGTCTCTCCGCTGCGCAAGGAGCTCCGGAGCGGCCGGCAGACGCGCCTTGGGGGCTCAGGACGCGGAGCAGAGATCGCAGCAGCAGCAGCAGCAGCAGGTGGGTCTTGGCCGGGCTGAGCGCTGCCTGCCGGGGCTGGACTGCGCGGCGAAGGAGGCAGCGCCGGGGGCACCGAGGAGGGAAGAGTCAGGCCCAGCCTGCTTGGGTCGCTTGGGCTTCCGGCAGGTGGACGGAGGATTTCTTTGGCTCTGCTGACTGCAAGGGGCGCCCAAGGAAGCAGGTGGCTCTTTCGCAGAACTGGGTGGCAAGGGCAGGTCTGCCAGCCACTTCGGAGTGGATCCGACTTGCCAGAGTTCAGCCGAACAGGTGGAAGGGCTTGTGGGCAAGATGCCTTTTTTTATATAACGTGGAACCTATAATCTTTATTGATTTGCAGAATTTGTTGAAATTTTCAAGTCAGTGCTGGGGTTTTTGTGCAAGAGAAGTCTAGAAAGTGTGTGAGGGGGGTTATCTCTGCTGTGACTTGGGGGGCAATTTGTATGAAAATAGCTTACATATATTTTTGCCGAGCCCCCCACTTTTCTTTCTTGTTGGTATTGTCTGCATTTGGGACTTCAATATTTCTCCTTTTAGAAACTCCCATCCTTCTTGGACTCCCTTCTCTTTGACGGTGGGATCACACCCAGGAGCTCCTTAAGCTATATGAAGTTGGCCTTTTTGAAGTCCAGAGTCTGTGTCCGACTTTCATTTCCCCTTTCCTTTGTATCCTGAAACCCAGGAGAAGAGGATCACTTCCTCCCAAGTTTCCGAGTTTCCAAGTGCTTCCAGCTCCTCCCTGTTGGTGAGGACCAGATCCAAGATAGATGATCCCCTTGTTGGTTCTTCCACCTTCTGGGAAATGAAATGGTCAGCAGGGCAAGGGAGGAATTTGTCAGACCTTACACTCTTGGACCAGAAGATGATGCCCAGGGTCCCTTTCAACTCTACAATGGCACAGGGGGAAGGGACTTGGGATGTGTGAAAGTTGGTTTGAGGTTTTGCTTTTTGCTTTTTTGTCCCTTGGCAGCAACTGGTAACTATATTGTATTACCCCCCCCCCGGCACTGTGATTGGGAGACGGAAGGAGAGCCTGGCTAAGGTGCTCCCTGATTAGAGGCTGGTGCTGCCAGTCACCTCCTCCCCTCCTGCCCTGGCACATCCCTTACATGGCAAGCTTCATGGGACAGGCAGTGTGGGCCTGGCATGGAGGGGGGGGCGTGCAATGCTGCCTTATACTGAGTGGGACATATTGCTGCATCTCGCTCAGTACCGTCTGCAGCAGTGGCTCTCCAGGATTTCAGGCAAGGAGTCTCTCCCCAGCCTTGCCTGGAGATGCCAATGACTTTCTGCATGCCAAGCAGCTGTTCTACCACAGACCAAGTTATGGAGAGCAGGGAGGAAAGTGCAGCCCCTCTCCCTGGCAAGTCAGCACAGCCTAAGGAATCCCCTGCCTTGCGCCTCTCCCTAGGGAGGCCTGTTCTGCAGCCAGGTGTTTTCATCTGTTTTAATGGCAGCTCCTGCTCTTTGCTGTTGTGGAGCAGCAGACTCCAAAGTGCTTGGGGGGGGGCAGAGGGGGATCTGGTTGGGGAGCAGGATGTGCCCAGCAGAAGCCTGGATCCTGGAAGCTGAGGTGGGAGTGGGTGTCTTTATCACATTTGCATCGATTCTTGGCCAGAGCTGCAGGCCTTATTAGATCAGCGCAGTTAAGTGGATTAAGTCAATTGGCTTAGCCCCGTCCTCCTCCCTGCTGCAAAGGCCAGCTGTGTGCTGTGCAACAGAACAGGCCCCTAGGGTACCCACATCCCTGGCAGAGGGGCAGGGAGATCCAGAGCCCAGCAACGCAGCTGGGGGACAACTCACCAGGCTCCGCAGAGGCATTGCAGGCTCTGCTTCTCCACCAGCAAATGGTGGTGCTGAGGTTTTGCCCATAAAGGTAAAGCACCTCTGGACGATTAAGTCCAGTCAAAGGCGACTACAGGGTTGTGGTGCTCATCTCGCTTTCAGGCCGAGGGAGCCGCTTTTTGTCCATAGATAGCTTTTCAGATCATGTGGCTAGCAGGACTAAACCGCTTCTGGTGCAATCGGACACCATGACAGAAGCCAGAGCACACAGAAACGCCATTTAGCTTCCCGTCACAGTGGTACCTATTTATCTACTTGCACTGGCATGCTTTCGAACTGCTAAGTTGGCAGGAGCTGGGAAAGGGCCACAGGAACTCATTCCATTGCGGGGATTTGAACTGCCGACCTTCTGATCAGCAAGCCCAAGAGGCTCAGTGGTTTAGTCCTGGTTCTGCACATAAGCACATCTTGGCTCCATCCTGCCCTATCTTTGGGTGGAGGCTCAGGAGAAGAGAGAAGCTGGAAGGCAGCCTGCAGGCGGGGGGGGGGGTCAGACTTTGCATTTCCCTTTCCCAAGAGCAGAGGCTCTTGCTTGGATTGGGAACTCCCAGTGCAGAGAGGACATCATCACTGTTGGTTGTGGCCCAACGAAGGCATTTTTGTGTTTTCATGGGGCTTGTGTTTGTTTTAAAGAGGACGATGTTTGCAGACCTTTCTGCTGTGTTGGGTCAAAGTGCAGAGAAGGACCTGAAGATGCAGGTGGGGAGCAAGCATTTTGGGTGAGGGACTCCTGGGGGGAGTTTGGCCAGAGTGGCCTTCCCCAACATGGTGCTTCATGCCTGCTCAGATGTTCTGAACTCTCCAGGTCCCATCAGGTACCCCAAAACATTGCTGTATGAAGCCGAGGAGGATGGGGGTTGTAGCTCCCAGATGCAGAAGGCGGAGGAGCCTCAGACTCTTGCCCCACAGCTTCAGCTTGGGCTCTCTGCCCCAGGGCCAAGTGGGGCCATGCCAGCTTCTTCTTCTCCCTGATCCTTATAGAGCCACGAAATGGTGAAGGAGAAACCCTAGGCAGCCTGGCCCAGCGTCTTAGTTGTGTATGAAAAGTATTCATAGAGCACCCTTCGTGCAAAATTCCAGAGCGGTGTGCAGCAAGCTTTACAAAAGAGATAAAATATCACTTTAAAACAATGCAGACAG